GAGTTTGATTCCATAAAAAGTGACAAAAACATTAGTGTCCGTTGTGCATGGGAAGAAAACTTCGTTTTACAGCAAAAAACAAACAAACCCTAAACTTCCAAGCAAGCACCGGGAGTACACTACCACGTAATGGGAAACTCACAGAGAAACTCGCGGATTCTTCCACTGACCGCTGCGGCACACCTGCACCAGGGCAAACCTCCGCCTATGCCAGTCCTGCTTTACAGGTGAAAATAGAGCAACAGGGCCGCTAGTCTTTGATGTTATTTTTTTTTCTGCTGTGTTTTACTTGCATCTATTTGAAAGAGTGGGTGTAAACACACAAAAAAATTATTTTATGTGCTGGAATGTGTAGAAAATAGGTTTAAATGTTAAACAAATTTCTTCCAGTCAGAGAATGTTGCATATAATTAAATTTTTGCTTGATGCATAAAGTTAAAAGATTAAAACTAATAAAACAAGTTTTAAAAAGAGACGTTTCCATTTGATTACATTTTGTATGATGGATTATGTAGAAAAAATAGAATTGGGCTGAAAGATCTATCGCTTTATCACCTATTCAGGTTGTAAATCGTGTTTTTAAAAAGTAACTAAGTAACTAAGTAATTAATTACTTTTGAAAATAAGTAATCAGTAAAGTAACGGGATTACTTTTTTGGGAAAGTAATCGGTAATTAGTTACTGATTACTTTTTTCAAGTAACTTGACCAACACTGATGACCACTTTTCCTTTTCAACACACTGGAGTTTGTCTCCAGGCTTCCTGAAGGACATTTAAAGCTCTGTTTTGGATGTTGGCTGTCTTTTGTTCCGTTCTCTGTCAAGATGATTCCAGTGTGCTTCAATAACTTTTAAGCTCTGGGCTCTGGGGAGGCCAATACATGACTGATGGTGTTCCACTGTATGTTTTTTTTTTCCATTAAGGTATGCTTTTACTGCATTGGCAATGTGTTTCATGCTGAAAAATGAAGCTGTTGCCAATCCGATGTTTTCCAGAAGGTATTACGTGATGGATCAGAATCTAAAAATACTTTTCTGCACTCATAATTTAATCAATTTCGACAAGATCCCCCAACACCACTGGTAGAAATGCACCGAGTTTTACAGATGGCTATCGACACTCATGGTTGTGCCTCTCTTCTGACCTCCTCCATACACACTGTAGATGATTTACACCAGAAATCTGAAATGTAGATTCATCACTCCATAAGACCTGTTGCCACTGATTTTAAGTACAGCTGTTGTGTAATTTTGCATTTTGCAGCCTCCTTATTTATTCAGGACTCAACTTTCAGGTATCATCTGCAGTAGATAGGTTTTTAGGTCTGCAAATATTCTTCTTTTGCCTTCTACTTCTCAAATTGTCTTTTAAGAACAGACCATACTGAAATATGGCAAGTTTTCAGCTAAATGATATGGTGGTGCAAAAATGATATTGTATGCCTGCCTGTACATTTGGCTAAAGAAAAGGGAACAAATTATGTGTTATCCTTGAGTTAGGTGAATGGTTTTATATACTTGAATGAGTCATAGGTGAGAGTGAAGTGGCTTGGCAAAACCAAACAAAAAAGAAAGAAAGAAAGAAAGAAAGAAAGAAAGAAAGAAAGAAAGAAAGAAAGAAAGAAAGAAAGAAAGAAAGAAAATTCCTCTAAAAATATTAAGGTACAAAGAGTGGACTGAAAATGAGTCACAGCCAATATCCAAAGAAAAACTTTCAAGGCCTTCAGAAATCCCATGGAAGTATTGATCAAGACACAGAAGCAAAATATAAAGAAATAAATACTTAAGAGGTTACAATGAATTCAAAATACTAGAACAAGAAACATGAATTAAGTCTAAAATTTCAACCCACAGCAGCTCGAGGGTCTGTAACGTGAAAAATATTCACAATGTAAAGGTTAAATTTTGCTTGACTTCAATAAATATACTTAGTTTAATTTATAATTTAAAAGTGATTTTCCAAAGGTTGGTTGACTGAATGACACTTTAGGGAGCCAGCATGTAACTGAAACCCGCCTAGAGACAATACACAATCACTACTTAATGTTTTTTATGAGCTTGTTCAAAGGTTAGTGGTTTATGTCAGTAACTGTCCTTTTTGAACTGGTTTATATATTTTAATCATTACTGAAGCAGCTGTATGTTGAGCAAGAGTTCCAAGAAAGGGAAAAATTGTTCTATTTTTGTCCCAGTCTTTCATGCTTTAACACGAACTGTTAAGGAATTCAATAGTAGTGGATTTTTTCCTTGTCTTGATCACACAAAATATCACCAAGGCCTGCTGTTGGTCCATAAGCTGCACTTTGAGAACCAGTGCTATAAAAAAATTTGAATTAAAGTCAAGATCACATTGTTCTTATTTTCTAAAGATAAGGTGCTGGTTAGCATTTCTTTGGAAAAATCTAGAGCTATTGACTCAGCCTGTTTTATCACCCGTGTAAATGTTATTGCAGTGGAATAGTGGTGGTAAACATTTCTTTATGGAACATTTTATTTTCTATTGAATAAAAAAGTAATAATAATAAAATGAACGTTTCTTCTGTTGTGTGATGAGTCTTTATTTAGGTTGTCGAAGCACTGCATTTGTCATTGAGTAGAGATGGTTATTCTGACTGATTGCACAGCAATTCTTGAGAGCTTTTTTCCTCCCACGTATGCATTTTCATTTGACAGCCAATATCATAAAGTATATACATATATATATATATATCTATATATATATATATATATATATATATATATATATATATATATATATATATATAAAAAGGGACACTTTGTTTTTTTTCATTGTGACCTTGGAGTGTTTTCTTGTTGACTGAGTCGACAAAAAACATCTCAGTCGTTAAGCAAATAAACTGATAACTATGTCTTAATCACAAAGTTTTTTATTATACTTTTATAATCCTCTGATAGGAATTTTCCGGAATACAAGTACGATAGTGACGTAAGAGATTTGCAGCAGAAAAGTTTAATAACTTAACAGTTACATCCGATAACTTGATATAGCGAATGCTTTTACTGTTTTTCATATAAACTGACTCATCAGAGCTCTGCCTGCTAATGTTACTAGATGGAAATTTGTTCTGAGTGTGTGTGGTTCAGGTAAATGATGGCTTCCTGTATTGCACAAATGTTTTCGTTTTTTTTTTTAAAGTCAAGTATCATTTACAGCTTAATTATTATTTTTTTTAATAGCCAAAAATCCTTACACTCGGTGCACTCACACAAAGCTATCTTATCTTTGTATGTTGGCATAGTATAAGAAATGCTTTGATATGATAGTTTGGGAATTAATTTAGATTTGTGGTCCACGGTAACTCAAAGATACGCGATCTAAAGAACACAAACAGGGAGGAAAATCATCTCATGTGATCTAATCTTCTCATTCATAAGTTCAATATATATATCCCACATTCTCACATTTGAATTCAAAAAGAGGAATATCATATCAAACTATTAGAGCAGGATCATGCTGTATGTTTGTGTGCGCTGGTATATATACAGCCCTGTTCCCAGAAGAGTTGTGACACTGTAAAACGTACATTAAACTGAATACAGGGATCTTATACTTCAAGGTATAATTTCAAATACTGAAACATAGTTTTTTTTATTAATCATTTTAAAAAATATCCACAGTTTGAATGTGGTGCTTCTAAAAATACAGAACAGAAACAACGGGAGTCTGGAAATGTTGTGTGAAAAATCCTAGTAACTGGTTAACATGGTTGCTTTATAAATAGTATTGCAGAACAGTGCAGTCTTTCAGTAATAAAAATGGAGAGTGATTAACTACAGGTCATTGTGAAAGAAAGTCTCGGCAAATATATAAGACTCTATTGATCCTGAACAACATATACACCTTTCTGAGCAACTTTGATGTTGCTTATTTCAGCAAAACAAGGAAAAACTGCAAGGTGTTTCTAGTAACATGATTTGATTCAGTAATAAAAGGGTGTGGGTGTGTGGGTGCAAAGCCCTCCTGTCTGTAATTCCTGAAAAATGAAACAGAAAGTACAACTCAAGACATCCCGGGCTTCTGAAGAACTGAAATCTTTTATCAAGACAGAACAATAAAACACTTAAATGTTTAAAAGTACTCCTCAGTTCCCAAACACTTCAGAGCATTGTTAAAGGAAGAAGTGAGAGAACGCACAATGTTGTGTTTGTAGAAATCTATATATATAAAAAAAGTTTGAATTATTTGAGTGACATTGCCTTTTCTTGTTGTATGGAAACAGCAGAGTTTTGATTACTTACTAGTTTATGAAGCCCCCTTTCAATACATTGTGTAAACATGTATGTAATTGCACTTTATATATCAGTAATATACAATTGGTAATCCCCACAAAACCTGTATCTTCTGCAAACATCAACCAATATGTTTTAACTTAGTGTTCTGACTGACATTTTTCCATACACAATTATTATGATTTCATTGTAGAATACTTCATTTCCTGCTTTCTGGTGGTTGTTTTATTCTGTGTTTGATCCCGATGACCTGCATCATCCTAACCACTCAGCCAATTCAAATAGCTGTATATAAGCAATTTATTTTCTAAACAAAGTTACAAAGTGCTGAACAAAAATGATTAAAGCAACAAATATGAAAAGTTAAATTAAAAATAAATACCGTGGAGAAAAAAACAAATAAAAATTCAAAAATATTTGATAAAGGTGTTTGCAGCTATAGAAAGCCAAATTCTATTCAATTCAATTTGATTGCATTTATAAAGCAAAGTATAGATCCTTCAACAAAACCGAGAACCCCAACAATCAGAAGACTCCTTTTGAGGAAGCACTTGGCGACAGTGGGATGGAAAAAACTCCCTTTTAACCAAAAAAAAAAAAAGGCTCAGTGAGGGGCAGCCATCTGCTGGTGCAAAAGACTTTAAAGCATGAAACGTCTTCAAAACGGTGTTTTAATCTATTTTCACGTTATATTGAGTCTATTAAAACACACACACACACACACAGAATATATGCACATATAACATGTGCTGATGACATGACTCATCTCATTACTCCGAAAACATCAGTACCATAGATTATAATTCCATTTTCAATATCAACCGATGAATTTCATATTCTGAATAAACCCTTTTAAATAAACATTTCATCGCTCTCAAGCTGGAACTTTACAATGAACGACCACTGTCATCGGATTTCATTTACTTCCACTGTAGAAACACTAGGTGGAGATAAACATCCACCACCACGCGCCATACTCGTAATGACACGATTTTATAGTACAGCACAATGTTCTCTGGTGATGGGCACCTCGATAATTTAGTAATAACAAACAGATTTCAAAGCATATAAAAAACAAGTCGAAAACACAGACTAAGGATAGTAATGCGGTCAATGGTGAATTTGAATGTTTATGCTTTCGAATTATTGGAAACAGGCAAAAAGGAAAAATGAAATAAAAAGAAAAAAGCACTCCCTGGTCTGTATCCCCACGTAAGCCCACCCCCGTGAAAGTGAAATCTGCCATCCGTGCTGCAGTTCCTCTACAGTCTTTAATTTGAAGTCACTCCTACCAGGACGTATTTCCTCGGGCACAAGGGCGCGCTGGAGCCTGCCGTCTTATTAACGCACAGGTTTACTGACACAGCACTGGATCTACAAAGGACCCAAGGACACAGACTTTTGAATCTAGTTAGCTTGATTAAAAGCAGCTAACACTGACATCATTTTATTGTACGGCTCCCTAAACGGATGGTATCGTAATAAAAAAAGAAAAAAAGTTATCAATTGGGACCGAAAAAGGGACCGAGTATGAATGATGTATTGCGCAGAATCTCGGCTCATTTAGCCTACGATTAATTTACCGGAGAGAAGCGCATCTCCATCTCGTGGGATGCGAGCGGGGCATGTCTTTGCTGAATGCTGTTGCACGGTTTTGGTTAGACGGTGCCAAACTTGCGCAAAGAGCCCGATTCTGCACAAGAACTGATCGTTGCCAGTAAGGTGACCGAAAGCACACAATGTCAGCCATACGGCGGAAATTTGGCGAGGACTACCAGGTGGTAAACACCAACCGGAGCATGACTTTTTCCGCGCCGGTGAAGAAAAAGAGGCAGCGATTTGTAGAGAAGAACGGCCGCTGCAATGTCCAGCACGGTAACCTTGGGAGTGAAACCAGCAGGTACATCTCTGATCTATTCACCACGCTGGTGGATCTAAAGTGGCGCTGGAACCTGCTCATCTTCATCCTCACGTACACGGTGGCGTGGCTGGTCATGGCTTCGATGTGGTGGGTCATCGCTTACATCCGCGGAGACCTGAGCTACGGCGGCCACAACTCGTCCTACACCCCGTGCGTCGCCAACGTCTACAACTTTCCCTCTGCGTTTTTGTTCTTCATCGAGACCGAGGCGACCATCGGCTACGGCCACCGGTACATCACGGAAAAGTGTCCTGAGGGTATCATCCTCTTCCTCTTCCAGTCGCTGCTGGGCTCCATCGTGGACGCTTTCCTGATTGGCTGCATGTTCATCAAGATGTCGCAGCCCAAGAAGCGCGCGGAGACGCTGATGTTCAGCCAGGACGCGGTCATTTCGCAGCGGGACGGGAAGTTATGCCTCATGTTCCGAGTGGGAAACCTGCGAAACAGCCACATGGTGTCCGCTCAGATCAGGTGCAAACTCATAAAGGTAAGCACGCGCGTTACCTGGGTGATAGCCAGAGGATGTTTCTCCTGCGCCACCTCAACTCTGAACGTGTTGTGTCTGAATAAAAAACACTCTCAAATTGTTAAGTGCGTGTTAAGTGTTGTGACCGTTTTTCAAGCCATGCACCGAATTTCTGTTAATTCCCAGATTTGACTATGTCAGGGCAAAGATTCCCACTGGACGGCCTGGAATATACGAAGGAAAGCATGGACTTAGAACTTTTAACTGTAACTCTCCAAGTGTTACAGCTTTTCCTATATATATATATATATATATATATAAACAACTTCCATTCACACACTACACCAAAATAAATTAAGTAATAGATAAATTGTAAATTTTTTCTGACCTAATGGAAGATTTATATTTTATAGGTACAGAACAGTCTGGACAATGAACTACCAAGTTTAAGATCAGCCTGTACGTGATTTGAAATGAGTTTAGCATCCCTGCTGTAGGGGCTCTGCTTTTATAGCGAGGCTCCATCGTGAGTTGTGCTTTAATAAGTGGCCATTTACTCCCCGGAGCATCCTACTTACAGCTACAGGCTGTGTATTTCAGCTCTGTGTTTATCAGCTCTCCTCTCTTCATTTCTGAGATGCTGAGTGAGCCGCCTGCTTCAGTGAGGGTCATCACAAACTGCCCCCCACCCCTCCTTCAGTCAGCAGTATGGCTGTCAGTGGGTTGTATATTCAAATTCAGCCTCAACTTAAGCTGTCCACAGATGAGATGAATGCCTCCCCCAGGAAATAGTTTGTGGCCAACTACAGCATGAGCACTTGGTTAAAAGATCATTTCTAAAGTTAACCGGCTACAATGGCTGTAATTCCTGTGGCCACTCTTTCCTAAAGACAGGACAAAATGTAACTATTAAATACTGAGACGTGACAGTGATTTGGCACTTTACCAGAGCAACTGCTGCCTTTCAGCGCTGCAAAAAATAAAAATAAAAATCCGGAGGATGAAAGGAGAGCTGAGGCAGCTGCTGTCGGCTATGATAAAAGGGAAGAGGAAAACATTTTGTGTCATGCAATTTCACAACTGAAATAGACTGAAACTGCAGCTTCAAACAGCACTCTCTCACCAGCGGAATGCTTTTCTCAAGTCCTCTAAGCAACATTTCTTTTTGGCCTGCAGACCTTATGACTGATGGACAGTGCTCAACAGTGTCTGTGTATCTCAGGTGCTGAAAAAAGTCCAAACACAACAATTCATCACAATTTGAGGACTTTGTATGAGCCAGCATAAGCTCCCTGTAGCGGTGTTCATCAGTTTAAACCTTAATAGCCGGCAGCGCTTTGTTGTGACAGTTAGATGTGCTTTTGTCACTCCTTTGGAGTTGTGAGGTGATCTTCAGTGATGGCTCACTTTTATGAACTCACACCAACGAGTTGATTGTACTTAGTTGTTTATTTTGTTTTCTTAACCAAGTCAACAGAAAAAATGTTTAAAGTCCTTTTAAAATGTTTTAATCCGTCTATTTTTCATTTGACTTCAATAAAAAGAAAGAAATAATAAATAAAAGTCACTCATTATTAAAAGCCTTATTACTGCCACTGTTTCAGCTCTTTCTCCCATTTTTCTTTCATTACTTTATCAATTGTCCTTTAATTAACAGCTGAGAAAGGGAAAGGAAAAATATAGTGTCTTGATTGCACTTAATCACCAGTCTCACAGATGAATAATCACACAGAATGCACCATCATCAACTTTCCTCCCTCTGCAGAGGAGGGCAGTTCATTTCAGGCCGTTTTACACTCTGCATAGTCACCTCTAATGCATTCTGTCCTGTTTGAAATAACAGAATGAAAGCAGTAAAACAAACACCCACGGGACACGCTGTAAAATTTCAGCCTCAATCAGAGCCACTGTAGATTTATCATTAAAGAGGAATTGTTATGAAAGTTTAAGCTGTATTCGGTTCCTGATACTGGAACTGAATTCATCAGTCAGGTGTGATTTGTAGCATTCACAGCAGAACGTACTGGAACAAATGCTGCATTACTGTTGCTGATTAGATACATAATGGAGACCCAGTACTTTAGCTGTGCAGGTAGCTTTCTTGGTCTTGCCTCACGTCTCAAGTTTAAGTGAACGTGCCAGCCTGGAGTGCTGCTTAATTACTGCATGGTAAACATTTGCTGTTTAGAGTGCTGTCATCCATCAGCTTTTTTTTTTCAGACTTTATTTAAACAGTCCTTGGCTTCCTTTCTAAGATCAGTTGATTAAATTTATGTGATGATCCTGACCTGGGATTTCTGCCAGTGAGTAATGATCATTAAATGATATTTTTAAGCTACAATCATTTATGTGTTAATGGAAGGTCAGATGTCCAGGACACATGAATCACGTGTAAAATAAAAATAAAAATAAAAATATTCAATTAACCTGCAGTAAAGGGTCAAAACCTGTTTGATGAATTCATAAGTCTTGTCCACATTAGCTGATTGTGATATTTTAAGAAGAAGCCTTCATCATCTTTGGATCCTGGACTAATCGTGCTGTGAAATCTGTGTGCAGGGTATGATTGTAGCACTGCTGCATTGTTCCTTTTTTCCTGCCCATGTACGTCACTGTGTTGTCAGACTGCACAGCGGTGTATTGTAGAGTAGATTGATTCAACATAGCCCTCTAGTACTACAGCTGCACTGTGCAAACGATGCCATGGCTCATGTTCAGGTAGCACGCCACTCAAGGTCACTGTCAGATGTTTTGCCCACAAAGCTGGCTGAAGAAATGAGGCATGCTGCAGTAAATCCTAATGATGGAGCAGTGCAAACGTACGGTGGCACGGAGATACCTAGGCATGGGCAATAAATATGCTGTGGGACCTGGATACTCTGGACTTTTGGGAAAAAGTAAAGTTGGTGTGTGTGCAGTCAGTGAATTATTACAGAAAAGAATACTTGGTGGAGTATTTGGATTCTTCAGCTATGTATTTTCTGACTCTTTTACACAATGATGTAAGAAACTGTCACTGGAGTCCTAAATAATTCCCCCTTGCTATTGGCTATGAACATTAAAGCCAACACTGATCTCCTTGAGTTTGCCCTCTAACTGCTGGATGTGAATTTTACTGAGTTTCATCAGTAGAAGTTTAGAGGACTGAAGCACAAGTAGAAATGTAAAGTAGGAGGTGATGGTGGGCGTGCCTCTTTCCATTTCACATGTCTCTTTTATCGACAAGCTCAGTGACATGTGGGACTTGTCTAGAAGATGTGATAACAATATAAAAGATTTACTTTAAACATTGTAGCCTTATTTCAATCTCCCACTCCCTTCTTCCGTGACTTGTGACCAAGACACAAGTAATTAACTTGTGTCTGGTGAAATATAATAGTAGATCCCAATTTTATGGTTACACATAACAAACTTAATTATGAGCAGAAACACAGCTCTCTGGCAGTACTGCCCACCCTATATCCACAACGCATGTTAATGTAAAAACATAAAAGTCCTTGAAATTCCATTAATATTGATGCAGCATTAATTAATAAACCAGTGGAATGCAGAGGTGCTCTGACCCCTGCAGCACAAGTGAAATATAATATTAAAATGGAAACATGCAGGCATGTGGGTTGCCGTCAGAGCGCGGTCGTAACGAGCTTATCTTGGCAAGGAAAAAATTGGTGGGACAAAGGAGATGGAAGCAGTAGACAGCAGCAAGTGTGGCAAACAAGACTGAACAAAAATGCAGCGGGGGAGAGTGACAGCTGGGCGGTGCTCGTCAGTGTCAACAGAAGCTTGTCTCAGTAGGTTGGTCCACAGCAGGAGATAAGTGATAAGGGCGAGAAGCAGAGAGACAGGCATGCATGCAGGAGCTTAGCGAGACAGGCAGGCAGATATGCCGGCATGACTCGCAACATCTGCCACCGTCTAACTCTGAAGGACAAGCAGGGAAAGCAGAAGAAAGAAGAGAAGAAGAGGCAAAAAAAGAAAAGCGATAATGTTGTGGCAGACAGATTGAGAGATAGAATGCAACGTCTGTGCGAGAATCACATTTTATCTCCCGCTCAAAGCCCAGTAGCTGGACACATGTCCACATTTGCATGTCAAACACAAAAGTAATACATTTGTGTTGCATTGTTGATGTCTGGGTTTAGTATCTTTCTCAAACACATGCATTTGCACACACAGTCCACACAAACTCTCACTGAAGGGGAAGTGAGTCACCAGGGAGAGGGCCTGCCTTCACTCAACTTGAATCTCAGGTGGCTTGGTAAATTAAGCACCCCCTCCATATCAGGACCTCTTCCAAAGGCCATTAATTTCCCCCCTGTGGCGCTGACTGTTTAGCAGCACTAAGAGAACACACAAGGCTTTTACATTGTTAAAGCCATCCAGCAGCTTTCTGCGTCCTTGGCAGGGGTATAATTCTGTTGTAGCACTACAGTGCTAGTGAGGCAAGCAGTGAGGATTTATTAAAATCAGCAGTTTTACCTTTACACCCAGAAATAAATGACTTACCAGTACACTGGTTTCCAAATGGGAAAATCTAGTGCAGTAGCACCATTATTATATTTAAATAGAAGGAAATCTTGAGCTTTGCCTGTTTTTGATGTCATAAAGATTGCTGCTAAAAAGAAGGGCAGTTAGATGGATAATTAAGCTGGATAAAAAGGATTTAAGCAGCAATACCTATTACCACACTGGACTGCATTTTACTGTTCACTAAGTGTAAATATGAAAACATCAGAGGCATAATTGAAGAGCCTCAATGTTAGCATTTTTCCACCCTCTTATCTATACCATAGTTAGACAAGAGGGTTCATTTCTCAATAATCAAGGCACTTGGTAATGTAAGGTAAAGCCTTAATAATAACAGAGAGAAAACCCTAACAATCAGAAGACCCATATGAGCAAAGACTTGGCAACAGCAGGAAGGAAAAACTCCTTTTTAACAGGAAACAACCATATGCTGCAGCCAGTTTGGGAGTGAGGGGCTGGAGACAGGACAAGTTCTGTAGCATACAGTCTGTACCAAGCAGGAGGTCATATTTGTCAGATAATGACATCAACAATAAAAACAAACATAAAAAAAACATAAAAATGGGTGTGCTCTAAAAGGAGCTACTGTAAAGTTTTTTTTATTAAAGGCTGTAAAAGTGTTAAATTCATTGCTGAAGTTGGGTATTTCCCCACAGGAGTCAGTGGGGACTGTCTTGCTTTTGAAGCCAGCCACAAGTAGCCAATGCAGGAACTACTGTTTTTGCTACTCATTTCTCAGCCCTGGAGGTTGCTGCTTTGAAATGATAGCTTTGTGCTGCTAAGCTAAGCAAACTGCCCGATGAATGCCACTTTATATTTATCATGCAGAGTGAGAGTAATATCTCCAAGCTCTCAGCAATAAAGTGAAAAGTATTTAATGTCAGACGATGTAATCCTATAAGCTGGGATTTAGACCAAAAGCAAAAGGAAGGGCTGCTTTTGCAAGGGTGTCTGTTATTTATAGTGGCTACCGGTAAGACAATCGATCCAGGAAGTCCAGCTGGAGTAAACAGATTAATGCATTTAATGGCTTAACAGTTGCCAAAACACTTTACAGCGGACATGACCTGATTGTTTTAGGCATCAAAGATGGAATTACTTTATCTTTAATGGCAAAGGTAAACAGAAGCAGTTTGTTTGGTTTGGCAAAGCCACCCTATGCAGGCACCCCTCCATTCCAGGCATGATCAGACTCTGACTGAGGAGATTTTACATCTCTTCCTTGATGAAATCCCCAAATCGAGTAACATTATTTTATTTGTTACGAGAATACACCCCGTAGACTGACAGATCAAAGGCGCGGTGGGTGGTGTAGCTTTTTACAGCTTTTTCTGCTTGTTTCCTTTTAAGTAGAGTTCTCACTGTTACATAAAAAACATCCGCATTTCTTGCTTTTTTGACTTAACTTCAGTGGACATGTTACATCGGCTCCCCGTCTGCGCGTTCAGTGAGCGGCAGCCACTGATGCAGCATGATGGGTGACACTTTCCCTCAAGAAGGCGAGCCGGGGATCTGTGGGCACAGACGTCTTCCTGTGAAATGTCACACCCTTCTGTCCTCAACATCACGGTGAATACAAATGACAGGCTGTTTGCCATCTGTGAACCGATTGGCTCCTTGCTCAAAGGGCCGGGGAGGCCACTCTTCATGAAAGTTAACAGTAGGCGACGGGAAGAAGATATAATCTATTTAATCTACTAATAAACATTAACAACGGGGAAATATGATTTTCACCCTTCTGTTTATGTATGAAATGTTAGAACTCATATGGGTATTATCAGTATTTTTTCTTTTTGGCCTTTTCTTTGAGCTTCTTTCTTGATATTTTCATTTAACACATACTTTGCTTATTTAGATTTGCCCTATTTGGTCTACATTTGGTCAACAATGTTGGTTTTCTTAAGGCCAGACTGTTGCTGAGAATTTCAATGGGGTCTAATCTGCTGGAAATTATGAGGTGTGTACACAGTGAATGAAAAAAAAAAAAGAAATAAAGATTACTGGTGCTTGGGTTGTCAGAACGAGATGCTGGGAAGGTGAGAGACTATTGTTTTAACACCTTCATTCTCACTTTTACCCTGCATGTCTGCCAGTCAGTGTGACAAGTACATTTCAGTGCTATTGCCTCCTCAGGTCAGTTGTTCTTGCTTTTACCACTATACAGCAAAAATACACTTCATTAGGTCCACATTGCTTACATTGTGTTGGATCTCCTTTTGCATTCAGAACTGCTTTAATTCATCATAGATTTGGAACCATCAGAATTTTTGGTTCATATTGATATGACAGCTTCACACAGTTGCTGCAAATTTGTCGACGGTGCATCCATGATGCAAATCTCTTTTTCCACCACATGCCAAAGAGGCTGTGTTTGACTGAGATCTGTGACAGTGGAGGCCATTTGAGTACAGTGAACTCATTGTTGTGCTCAAGAAACCACCCAGTAGAAATTTCAGTACTGAATAGCTGTTAGCTGGTGGTCTTTTCTTCCAATATAACAATTGAAAGACGTCACAGATGTTACTTTGGCATTGGTTTAAGGTACTTCTTAAACATTGCCTCGATATCTTGATTAGACTTTGTAGAGAAAGTTTGCATTTAAGTTTTTTTTCTTTGTTGTTGGTTTGTTAGTTAGAATAAATGAAATGAAATGAATTATAATTATTGAGAAAAGAATTATAAGAAGAAAAAAAACCCTAAATGGTGGATTGATGTAATCTATTTCACACTTTGTAAGAGATGTTCTGACATGAACTCTGTATAGGAGCATGGTCTGTCCGTCTATGGTTAAGTTTTATATGTTGTACTGCAACCAGTTTTGATCAGCATTAGGGGTTTAATTATGTTTGCTGGAAAGTTTAAGATGGTTTGAGCTTCATGACATGGTGCGTTAATGTTGCTGGAAGCAGCCATCAAATGATAGATACATTGTGGTAATAAAGGGACGGACATGGTCATCAACAATAATCAGCAAGGCTGTGGAGTTTAAATGATGCTCAGTTGGTGCTAAGAGGCCCAAAGTGTGCCAAGAAAATATCCTCCACACCAATGCACCACCACAACCAGCCTGACAAGCTGATACGAGGCAGGATGGATCCATGGGATTTATGTTGTTTATGTCAAATTCTGACCCTACCATCTGAATGTTACAGCAGCAATTGGGGCTCGACAGATTGCTGCTGTAACATTAACAGATTTTTCCAAATCTTTTTGTCCCCATCTGACAAGACGTGTAGGTCTGTCGAAGCAGTTCTGGGAGCGCTTTGTATTTAGTTGCTGTTGTTTTGCAACAGTACTACCACAAGTGAGCCTGGGACCAAAGATAACATCTACATCTTCTTCATTACGGTCCCGTTTTTCAATAAGTGTGGCTGATGGAAGCAATTCTCAGCAACCACTTCTAGTTTACAGGCTTCACCCTGTCTGCCTTTGAGCACCAAAAACAACTCATTCTCCCCACTTTAACTCTCTAAGTATCCAATTTCATATGGTACCATGTGAAATTCCAGAAGGAAATTGCCTTTTCAATGCTATTCCAGTGGACTTTAAACGCAGCTTCGGTTACCTTTTGATCAAGGATAAAGAATACGTGCATATATATAGTAGCAGTAGTTGGGTTTCACATGAAAAGTACTCACCAAGTGGTAGGTACTGCAAAGGAGAGGTTAAACCTGGCAGATTGACAATGTGTCCTCATGAACTCAACTATAGCCTGTAAAAAGCTATTTTTGTGCAGGAATATTAGCTTCAACCAAACACACTGACTTTGAACCAATGAGACTGCAGGCTAAAAACTGGTTAATGCTTCAGTGGCTTTGGACCCTTTCACTCTCACATGCACCTCTTTCGGGTGATGTGTAGGAAAGTTCAGGGCTCTAAAATGTATGTTAAAATGGGTCATAAAACCTTTTAGCTGTGTAGGTAGAGTCATTTGCATGTTCTACATGAAAGCAAAGCAGTACTTTGAAATTCAGAGGGTTTTTTTTTAACATGACGACAATATGATTCAATTAATTCATTTTGTCAGATGTGTTTTCCTCAGCTGGAAATACACTTCCATAAACAGCAAACACCACACTGATAATGTCCTAAAGATAATTTAGGTGACAAGAAGACACTCGACACTTTCATTTCTGCATGGCAGATATGACCGGTAACTTCTTTGAGTCTATGCTGGTTGCCTGGCAACTGGTCCCAGCATAGTCTGACCACAGCCTAGTACAAAACTGTGAATTGGCATGAATTTTTTTACACTTTGCTTTCTGCTTTGTTTTTGTTTTAAATCAAATAAAATATAACAATAATGTCAGGTTTTAAAGTGTCCACTTCATATCAGTGATTTTAAGACTCTCTTGCTAGTTTATGAAGTTGCTAAATGCCAATCACCAGCATTATCTCAGTCAGGCTTTCTAGTTTATGTAGCTAGGTCCCTGACGAGTCAGAATCTCAGGAGTTCTGACTTGAGGCTGCAGAGCAATCTGCCTCAGAGTCAGAAGGACTCCATCTTTGTAGAAACCCTCAAAACCCCTTTTATGAAAGATTAGAAAATCCATTTAATGTACATCTTTTCTTCCTTACACTGCCTTGGTGGGAGTGTTGGTATAAACTGTCCTGTTCATTTGTGTCTACAGTCTCGGCAGACCCCAGAGGGCGAGTTCCTGCCTCTGGATCAGTGTGAACTGGATGTAGGTTTCGGGACAGGGGCGGATCAGCTCTTCCTAGTGTCACCTTTGACTATCTGCCATGAGATCAACAGCAACAGCCCGTTCTTCGACCTGTCACAGCGCTCGCTCATGAACGATCAGTTTGAGATTGTTGTCATTCTGGAGGGCATCGTGGAGACCACTGGTAAGAACGTATTCTTATTTCTGAGGTCCTTTTGCTGTCTTTTTTTAAAAACAACTAACTTTGTGTAAGCATCGCTGTCCCTTATCATTTGTCTCATCATCATTTAGCAGGTGTTAGATGGAGCTTCTCAGTAATATAAAATGAAATATTTAACACAATGTTTAATTTCATGGTGTTTAATTATTCAAAACACAAGGCTGCTTCCATCTCTGTTAGTTTTTCATGTTTCCCTCTCCCTTGTCCCTGAAGCAGTTCACCACTTTCATATCAGCTTCCTGTCTGGCTGTCAGTCCATTTTTATTTAATACAGTTTTCCTCATAATGTTACAGCGTGTTAGTCATCTCCTCTTTGTCTTTTCCCCTGTCTGTATTTGAAATATTTTTCTACTCTGTCTCTTCTCTTCATCTCAGGTATGACATGCCAGGCAAGGACATCTTACACTGAAGATGAAGTCTTGTGGGGTCATCGCTTCCTCCCTGTCATGTCTCTTGAAGAGGGCTTCTTCAGAGTCGATTACTCCCAGTTCCACAACACCTTTGAAGTCCCCACACCTCCCTACAGTGTCAAAGAGCAGGAGGAGAAGTCCTCCCTGACGTCACCCAACCCCCTGCCTGTTGCGCCTACTCCCCCTTCGCCTCTGCTGAAGAACAGCAGCCGAGTAGGCCGCAGGGAGAGGCTCCTGTCAGCTGACAATGCAGACCATGTAGATGATCAAGTCTCCAGGCTGCCCAGCAAACTCCAGCGCATGAGCTCCAGCAGGGAGGAGCATCTCTGGAGGGGGCTGAAGACTGGGTCAGCCTTGCCTGGGGGGAAGGCCTCCAGCACAGGAGATCTGCCGCTTAGTATTCAGAGGCTGAGGTCCAGCTCCATCCCTGTAGTGAGGCAAGGACATCCGGAGGAGCAGGTCCAGCTGTTGTCTTTGGATGGAGAAGCTGAGGAGAGTGAGCTGGAGAAGCACAGATTGCCCACAGCCATTAGCACCATTGCTGCTCCAACCCCAGCACCAGTCCAGATCTCCTCGGTAGGGAGTCGGCCAGAGGACAACCTGCCTCCCAAACTGCGCAGAATGAATGCTGACCGCTGACATCTGCAAACTACCTTCAGGACTAAAACTAATTTGAAAAATTTATCAGGCTTGATGGGCATTGCATATAAGTAAAGTCTACTGTGATCTAGTTTTTTTTTTTTTGTAATTTCTGCAGATTCTCTCCAGTTTTCAGTATTTCTTATCAGGCTCTTTACTAAGTTGTCCATTGCCACAAATAGAAGGACAACACCAATAAGCCATCCATCCGCTCATACTGTGACTCAGTTTTGATATATCACCATCTGTGCCCCCCACTGACTTTTAACATTTATGTCCTTGTGCTTGTTCCTTTCATTTCTTTTCCCAGAAGTTGCATCAAAGACTTTCTTATGGCCTCAAACTGCTGTATCCACTTTTTTTAATTGAACAAGCACCAAAGTGGCAGTTATAAATCAGACTGATCATTTGCTAAACCAGCTCCCTTAAAACAGTGACTGTCCAGTGGCTGCTTAGCAAAGATAACCAGGCACGGCAAGTCTGTCAAGCTTTGGATTCACTTATTATTCTTGATTTCTCATATAATAAGTGTGCAGTGGTGTTTAAATTAAGTCTTTACCAAACATAAAACAATGTGCAAAAGGATAAGAAAGTGTTTTAGAGGTTTGCTCATTTGTATCAATGTAAAATTTATCTGTAGCAGATGCTGTTTGCTACGGGACAACCTACTGTAGTAGTCAAATAGTACCTAATCTCTAAAAACAGATTTTGCATATGAATATGTACAATCTGTAGGCAAGACACAACATTTCTGTACCAGGCACACTCTGGTTTCTTTTTGTAGTCTTTTTTGTAGTCCAGGTGCACTTTACTAGCAATGCACCGATATGATATTTGGATCAGATTTTGGTCCGAGCCTAATTGTAAAGGCTGGATTGGATATTGTTTAAAACGAGATGATCTATGACCAATCTATTCATTTTTACTGTATTTGATTCACTCAGCAGCAACAGTGGTTGCTATTGGCCAAGCTAACAAAGTACTAAGTAAGCTAACAGCAAAGCAGCAGTTGATGCTTTCTCTTTCTTGGTCCTTCACTTGTTTGGAAGCTTTTATTACTCTTTATTACAGTCTTGGTTACATAATGTGCTTGTGCCAGCTCAACTTCACACCAATATATTGAGGAGCAGTAAAAGCAGGTGAACTCAGATTGAGAGGAAGTAAAGGAGAAACTTGCATGACTGTCAATGAAAGCAGTGTGCAGTAGGCTTGCACTGAGCTCGGACTAATGCAAATAAATTAGATAAATAATGAAAATTACATTTTAGATTTTATTATTTTTTCCTGTTGTTGTTTATTATTTTATTAATAAATATAAAATCAAGTACATTTCTATTCTTGGATGCATGTATTTGTTAGGAAAGCATGATTTAAGTTGAGCCTGGTGCTAGCTAAAGCATAAGGAATGATACTCTTCCTCACAGTGAGGATTACAGTTTATTGATTTAACTCTGGTACCGGATCAACAGATACTCAATGCCAAGATCTCAGTATTGGATCAGAATTGGTAAAAGCAGGATTGGTGTGTCCCTATTATTGACTAACTTTGGTTGATAGTCATTTTGTAGAACAATAGAGGAATATGCATTTGCTAAAACACATCAGATAACTATCACCTATTGCCTAACAATGATTTGAGTTTTTATTTGCTTTTTTGCCTGACATCACAAACACTAATCAGAGGATGGAAAAAGAGAGTAAGGTTCTAAGACTATATCCTCTTTAATTAATTAAATTTATTTTTACGTAAAATCCAGCAGCTTTAGCTTCAGTCTTTTTGCACAGTATCATGTCTGAAGACATCCAGTGCATATTTAGATAATTTTTTCAAGATTAGGCATTGTTTTTGGGGTTTTTTGCTAACATTGACCTTTCATCCCACATGCACAGCTTACATTAGCCTAATTAGCTAGTTAACATAAAGCTAACAAAAAATCAACGGCTTATCTACAATTTAGTAGAAAAACTGCATGAGTGCCATACAAGAAAGCAACAGGGGGACAGGGTTTAACTTTACACAATTTAACCTGAAGTGGATCCCTGATACACATGTTACATTAATATGTTTTAAGGACTACTATTTATTTGGATGCTCACATGAGCAACTGCATTACCTATTGTGCAATTTTAACAATTTTTACCTCTTGGTGCACTGTTTGCATTGGACCATTACACATGGGGTGCCAAATGCAATCACAAATCAATTTTAGACTGCAGATTTTCTGTCATTATTAACTGGTTTATCAAAATGTAAAAAAACAACAGCAACAAAAAAACAAAAAAAAAACAATGTAGGAATGCAGGGAAGATGACGTCAGAGGATCTGTGTATTATTGCCAATATAAAGGAAAGATTACTTCATATTGCAACTGCTAAATAATAAATTCTTTGAAAACACAACTGTGCCTGTTAGCACTGATTTTTCCCTATGAAAAAAAAAGCTGTATTGCCTTTTCTGTTTGACTCAGCTTGTATATTTGCACACTGTACTCAACATCCAGAGCAGTTTCATCCTGCAGAATCTATCAGCAGCTCATGTGTCACCTGCTGTGATGGCTAAACCAGCATTCATCAAATATTAAAGCCTTAAACGTGAGCCTGAGTTTGTTCTGTTTTGAAGCAAATTTTAGAACGACAAGCAAGATCCTTCAGACAAAATCTTCAGGTAGTTACCCCTGGCTGGAAGGTTAACCGAGTTAAATCTAGCCCCTCAACCTTCTCCTCTGGCTGCAACTTACTGTATATTATATATATTATATATTTACTTATATTTTAGTTTTCAAGCTGCCAAAAATCACAGGTTAAAGGAGCTTGGTAAGTGGCATAATTGCTGCTGACACATGTACTCCATAGGCAGAAAATCTTGCAGAGATAAGACTTAAACATCAGAGGATGTCAAGCGTTTATTAGTCATGCTGCAAAGAATAGCAGAAGAATGAAATGTGATTATGTAACTAGTTGAGAGTAAGAAATGACCTCCGTCCAGCTTAAGATAAAATTAACTCAGATAAATGGTGGTGGGAAAGAATAAATCAAAGACATAACAATGTATAATGATGGACCAACTGAAATATGCATTCATTATTCAGTGATCATTCAAATGCGCTTGGGGAAAAAAAGATTAGTGTAATTTTCATTCAAAGGCACTTTCTTGATAAAAATTTTAAATATATAAACAGTTTGCCTCATTTGTATTTACTGACTTATTTCATATTTGGGTTATGCTAAAACACTAACGAAATTGCATTTAATCAAGCAAAAGTAAAACACACAATAAGTGCTTATCATTACCTTGAAGATCATAAGAAGAAAAAACCTTCAACAGGAAAATTTTAATTTAAAATTGGTAGATTTACTGGAGCAGCAGGAAGGAAAAAACATCCTTTTAGTAGAAAGAAACCTCCAGCAAAACTGAAGACAGACATAGGCCTTGATCACTTAGGGATTGAGGGAAAATAAAAGAGAAAAAAAAAACAGATCATAGAGAGGACAAAACACATAGTATGTGAGAAAGAAGATACAATTCAATTTCACGGCTGCAGTGTATAACACACCACCCAGCACGCCCCTGCGGGCGGTTTATCCTTCAAGCTCGGGTCCTCTACCAGAGGCCTGGGAGCTTGAGGGTCCTGCGCAGTATCTTAGCTGTTCCCAGGACTGCGCTCTTCTGGACAGAGATCTCCGATGTTGTTCCCGGGATCTGCTGGAGCCACTCGCCTAGCTTGGGAGTCACCGCACCTAGTGCTCCGATTACCACGGGGACCACCGTTACCTTCACCCTCCACATCCTCTCGAGCTCTTCTCTGAGCCCTTGGTATTTCTCCAGCTTCTCGTGTTCCTTCTTCCTGATATTGCTGTCATTCGGAACCGCTACATCGATCACTACGGCCGTCTTCTTCTGTTTGTCTACCACCACTATGTCCGGTTGGTTAGCCACCACCATTTTGTCCGTCTGTATCTGGAAGTCCCACAGGATCTTAGCTCGGTCATTCTCCACCACCCTTGGGGGCATCTCCCATTTTGACCTCGGGACTTCCAGGTTATACTCGGCACAGATGTTCCTGTACACTATGCCGGCCACTTGGTTATGGCGTTCCATGTATGCCTTGCCTGCTAGCATCTTGCACCCTGCTGTTATGTGCTGGATTGTCTCTGGGGCATCTTTACACAGCCTGCACCTGGGGTCTTGCCTGGTGTGATAGACCCCAGCCTCTATGGATCTTGTGCTCAGAGCTTGTTCTTGTGCTGCCATGATTAGTGCCTCTGTGCTGTCTTTCAGTCCAGCTTTGTCCAGCCACTGGTAGGATTTCTGGATATCAGCCACCTCCTCTATCTGCCGGTGGTACATACCGTGCAGGGGCCTGTCCTTCCATGATGGTTCCTCGTCTCCCTCCTCTTTCTTGGGTTTCTGCTGCCTGAGGTATTATGACACTACTATTGGCATATTATGATTGGATGTTGTATCCTATGTCTGAACTACAGTCCGGCCCCTTCCTTACTATCAGGTGCTGAGGGGTGCAACGATACAGCAAAGACTTCGTTAGTCGTGGCTTCGTTCGGTCTCCTGGCCACCTTTCAGCGGGTACGATCACGGTCGGCGTACGTGTGATCGATTTGTTTCGCATCACTGACTCCAGACTGGACCTCGAGGACGTGTGAGCTAGGCCTATGTTCCCATTCGCCTGCGATCCATTTTAATTCTCTTGTCATTTGTTCAGAATCAGTTCGATACCTCTTGTACATCCGACTACACTTCTCGTCAACGACATCCAATGTCAGCTTATAGCCTGAGTTGATTTCGATTTATCATAAGCTTGATTACCACGGTGTGAAACTCCTTGTAGCGTGTATGTTTAGCCGTCTTGCTTAATGACTCACAGAAAGGGTTCTAGTCCATGAGAACGCAGTGGACAGAGCACTCTTTGTGTCGCCTTATAGTCGTGATTGTCATAACTTCTCGTGGCTTGTGGTAGCTTCTGGCTTCCTCTACCGCTGTTTATGCCACAGAATAACCATTGAGTTCGTCTGTGAAGGTCTCATCTCAGGGTCATTAGATCGAATATCAATCTCTAGCCGCACTACTGCTCAGCGTTCCTGGCGATCACCTAGCATGTTTAAGGCGGGAATTTCATTGTCAGTTTGCATAGTAAGCTACGATTTACATGTCAGAATTGGAAATTCATCATCACAGACAGTGCGCTATACACGTGCCATTGAGTGAAGCAAAAACAAGGTTCATGCGATTCAATATGCAAAGACAGTCTCACCGATCCAAGCATATTACATGCTATTTACTGATAGATCAACATTGACTAATTCCTCTAAATGCCCGAGGGAAAGATAGATTTGTAGCCCGACTGAAAAATCTAGCCCGGGTACGATATGCGGCTGATCATTGCACTTTGGAAAAATATACAAATTCTTTTAAAATAAAAGTATACACCGTTTCTGGTAATTCACGCAATTACAACAGGTCATAACCTGTGTAAATGTAATGACGGCTAGTTTGTAGATGCATGTGTTTTTGCTTCACTGGATGTCCGTAATGTGCGTCACGGGTCCCATAGCTGTGTATCTCTATCCTACGCACACCGCAATCTCCTTACGCTACCTGTGCTGGCAGACGCCAACCTTAGGCTAATGCTACAGTTCACCCATGTAATGGCATGCATGCATCAACATATGTTACTCTTGGTCATACTCCATGAAAACCAATAATCCAAACGCCGATCTGAATGAGGGTGGATCTGTCGCAGCTTGCTCCACCATGCGCAGTGAACTGCGTCACCGCTGGCTGCACTCTCGAGCCTAGGCGGAGTAGTCAAATGCAGATTCACTGAGCGCTCAACACAGACAGCATCGTCAGAAGGAAAGTTGATAAAATAAATTACAAATTTTGTATTCTTTTTTTTTCTCCCCTTTGGTTTTCTTTCTTTCTCTCCCCCTCTTTCTTTCATTCTTTCCCCCTGTCCTATCCCACAGTCATGTCTGTCCCGTTTGCAACTGAAAATAAAATAAATTCATAATTATAATAAAGGTCAATCAAATGGACCAATATGATGATCCACTTAAAATAAATCCTCTTGGCATCTTTCTTGGCCTCAAGACAACAATTCTGATGGCTATAGATCCAAACGGGACACAAAAAAAAAAAAAAAAAAAATAAAAAAAATTTTTTTATAAAAATTGTATTGTTCGATACATATGCGTACCGAACCGAAAGCACTGTATCGAACGGTTCAATATCGATACGAATATCGTTGCACCCCTAATATATATATATAATATAAGTATATATATATATATGTCTCCCTCGAACAGGGTCCAGTAACCATCACAGTGGCAGATATCCAAGAAAGGGTCTCCAGTATGAAGAGTTGGACAGCACCAGGGCCCGACATGGTTCACGCCTACTGGCTAAAGAAGCTGACTGCACTCCACGAGCGTCTGGCAGCACAAATGAACCAGCTGCTAGTTAACGAGAGACACCCGGAATGGCTAACCGAAGGTCGGACGGTTACCGATGCTACCGTCGGCGTCCGACCAGGACCCCAAGAAGGGACCGGTCCCCTCCAACTACCGACCAATAACCTGCCTCAGTACTACATGGAAGCTCCTGTCAGGCATCATATCGGCTAAGATGAACAGGCACATGGGTCAATACATGAGTGGGACACAGAAAGGAATTGGCAAGAATACCAGAGGCGCAAAACACCAGCTACTGGTAGACAGAACAGTCAGCCGAGACTGCAAGACCAGACTGACCAACCTGTGCACTGCCTGGATTGATTACAAGAAGGCCTATGACTCAATGCCCCACAGCTGGATACTGGAATGCCTAGAATTGTACAAGATCAATGGGACCCTAAGAGCCTTCATCAGGAACTCAATGGGGATGTGGCGTACAACACTAGAGGCCAACTCCAAGCCCATAGCACAAGTCACCATCAAGTGCGGGATCTACCAAGGAGATGCTCTGTCCCCACTGCTGTTCTGCATAGGCCTGAACCCCCTCAGTGAGATCATTAACAAGACTGGCTACGGATACCGACTACGGAACGGAGCAGTTGTCAGCCACCTCCTGTACATGGATGACATCAAGCTGTATGCCAAGAGTGAACGAGACATCGATTCACTGATCCACACTACCAGGCTATACAGCAATGACATTGGAATGTCGTTCGGACTGGAGAAGTGTAGTCGGATGGTAACAAAGAGAGGGAAGGTAGTCAGAACTGAGGGGATTGAACTACCAGAAGGCAACATTGCAGACATAGAGGACAGTTACAAGTACCTGGGGATCCCGCAGGCAAATGGGAACCATGAAGAGGCCGCTAGAAAGGCTGCAACCACCAAGTACCTGCAGAGGGTCAGGCAAGTCCTGAGGAGTCAGCTGAATGGTAAGAACAAGATCCGGGCCATCAACACGTACGCCCTGCCCGTGATCAGGTACCCTGCTGGGGTAATAGGCTGGCCAAAGGAGGAGATAGAAGCCACTGACATAAAGACAAGAAAGCTCCTTACCATGCATGGAGGGTTTCACCCCAAGTCCAGCACCCTGAGGCTGTACGCTAAGCGGAAGGAAGGGGGCCGGGGACTGGTGAGTGTCAGCACCACAGTCCAGGATGAGACAACGAACATCCAAGAATACATTGGGAAGATGGCCCCAACTGACCGAGTGCTCAGTGAATACCTCAGGCAGCAGAAACCCAAGAAAGAGGAGGGAGACGAGGAACCATCATGGAAGGACAGGCCCCTGCACGGTATGTACCACCGGCAGATAGAGGAGGTGGCTGATATCCAGAAATCCTACCAGTGGCTGGACAAAGCTGGACTGAAAGACAGCACAGAGGCACTAATCATGGCAGCACAAGAACAAGCTCTGAGTACAAGATCCATAGAGGCTGGGGTCTATCACACCAGGCAAGACCCCAGGTGCAGGCTGTGTAAAGATGCCCCAGAGACAATCCAGCACATAACAGCAGGGTGCAAGATGCTAGCAGGCAAGGCATACATGGAACGCCACAACCAAGTGGCCGGCATAGTGTACAGGAACATCTGTGCCGAGTATAACCTGGAAGTCCCGAGGTCAAAATGGGAGATGCCCCCAAGGGTGGTGGAGAATGACCGAGCTAAGATCCTGTGGGACTTCCAGATACAGACGGACAAAATGGTGGTGGCTAACCAACCGGACATAGTGGTGGTAGACAAACAGAAGAAGACGGCCGTAGTGATCGATGTAGCGGTTCCGAATGACAGCAATATCAGGAAGAAGGAACACGAGAAGCTGGAGAAATACCAAGGGCTCAGAGAAGAGCTCGAGAGGATGTGGAGGGTGAAGGTAACGGTGGTCCCCGTGGTAATCGGAGCACTAGGTGCGGTGACTCCCAAGCTAGGCGAGTGGCTCCAGCAGATCCCGGGAATAACATCGGAGATCTCTGTCCAGAAGAGCGCAGTCCTGGGAACAGCTAAGATACTGCGCAGGACCCTCAAGCTCCCAGGCCTCTGGTAGAGGACCCGAGCTTGAAGGATAAACCGCCCGCAGGGGCGTG